TGTATAGGCACAGACTCCGGGGCTGGCGCTACGGACGCCATGTATAGGCACAGACTCCGGGGCTGGCGCTACGGACGCCAACTTTCCAATGTGCCGGAGGGTGCTCACTGCTCAACCCCTGGTTCTGTCACAGGCCCTGTCCCCACTCCCCACCCCCTCCTCTGAGCCTGCCATGCCCTCGTTCCTCCCCCGCCCCGAGCCTCCTGCACGCCACGAAACAGCTGATCAGGAGTGCGAGGAGGGAGGGGGAGGCGCTGATTGGCGGGGCTGTCGATGGGCGGGAGGTGCTGGGAGCAGGGGAGCTGATAAGGGGCTGCTGATGTATTACTGTGGCTCTTTGGCAATGTACATTGGTAAATTCTGTCTCTCTCTCAGGCTTAGGTTGGCCACCCCTGCACTATCGGAAAGGTGTAAATACCATAGTATGTGAAGAGTTAGACTAGCACAAGAAGCATATGTGAAATGAGATAAAATTGAGAAAAAAAATGATGTACTATCAGGAGCTCAAAACAGTCTCCCAAGAAAAGCAATAATTTAACATTTAAACTAGGCTGGATGAAAAACTAGTAAATGTACAATAGGGAACAATTTGGCATCAAGAGAAAGATAAACTATATGACCTCAAACTTCTATTAAACAAACACACACACACACACACACATATGCATGCCACCTGGAAGGCTTCAGAAGTCAGTGGAATTTAGTTTTAATTAACACTGCTTATAATTCAGCTATATGGATCAATTAATTTCCAAAAGCCATTTCCCAGTAGCACAAAATACAGATCAGAGAGCAATCATTTGTAAATTGTCAGATAGGAAATAATTTTTGAGTTTTACAAAGGTTGCAAAGAATTTCACACCTTTTTGAGTATCACTCTCTAGCAGATAAATGTTTTTACAGCTTGTGGCAGTGCCAATCAAAGCTAATTATAACCTTATTGAGATGCTTTGGCACAGAGGCAGCAGGCCCAGGGGATGAAGCAGATAACTAGTAGTCAGAAAAAATAGGTTATATTTAGGGTTGTTGATTAATCGCAGTTAACTCGTGCAATTAACTAAAAAAAAATTCATCGCGATTAATAGAATACAATAACAATAACAATAGAATACCAATTGAAATGTATCAAATATTTTGGATGTTTTTCTACATTTGTATATATATTGTATGTTTTTATTGAAATCAAAGTTTATATTATTCTTAATTACAAATATTTGCACAGTGAAAGATAAACATAAGAAATAGTATTTTTCAATTCACCTCATACAAGTACTGTAGTGTAATCTCTGTCGTGAAAGTGCAACTTACAAATGTAGACTTTTTTTGTTACATAACTGCACTCAAAAACAAAACAATGTAAAACTTCAGAGCCTACAGGTCAACGCAATCCTACTTCTTCTTCAGCCAATCACTAAGACAAACAAATTTGTTTACATTTCCAGGAGATAATGCTGCCCTCTTCTTATTTACAATGCCACCAGAAAGTGAGAACAGGCGTTCGCATGGCACTTTTGTAGCAGGTATTGCAAAGTACTTACGTGCCAGATGTGATAAACATTTGTATGCCCCTTCATGCTTCTGCCACCATTCCAGAGGACATGCTTCCATGCTGATGACACTCGTTAAAAGAATATGTGTTAATTAAATTTGTGACTGAACTCTTTGGGGGAGAATTTTATGTCCCTGCTCTGTTTTACCCGCATTCTGCCATATATTTCATGTTATAGCAGTCTCGGATGTTGTTCATTTTAAGAACACTTTCACTGCAGATTTGACAAAATGCAAAGAAGGTACCAATGTGAGATTTCTAAAGATAGCTACAGCACTCGAACCAAGGTATAAGGATCTAAAGTGCCTTCCAAAATCTGAAAGGGTTGAGGTATGGAGCAGGCTTTCAAAAATCTTGAAAGAGCAAGACTCCAATAAAGAAACTACAGAACCCAAAGCACCAAAAAAGAAAATCAACCTTCGGCTGGTGGCATCTGACTCAGATAATGAAAATGAACATGCATTGGTCTGCACTGCTTTGGACTGTTATCGATCAGAACCCGTCATCAGCATGGACGTATGTCCGCTGGAATGGTGGTTGAAGCATGAAGGGACATGAATCTTTAGAGTATCTGGCACGTAAATATCTTGCGGCGCTGACTATAACAGTGCCATGAGAACGCCTGTTCTCATTTTCAGGTGACATTGTAAACAAGAAGTGGGCAGCATTATCTCCTGCAAATGTAAACAAACTTGTTTGTCTGAGTGATTGACTGAACAAAAAGTAAGACTGAGTGGACCTGCAGGCTCTGAAGTTTTATATTGTTTTATTTTTGAATGCAGTTATTTTCTGTACATAAGTCTACATTTGTAAGTTCAACTTTCATGATAAAGAGATTGCACTATGGTACTTGTATTAGATGAATTGAAAAATACTATGTTTTTGTTTTTTTACAGTGCAAATACTTGTAATCAAAAATAAATATAAAGTGAGCACTGCACACTTTGTATTCTGTGTTGTAAATGGAATCAATATATTTGAAAATGTAGAAAACATCAAAAAATATTTAAATAAATGGTATTCTATAGTTTAATCACGCGATTAATTTTTTTAATCACTTGACAGCCCTAGTTATATTACCAATTCTGCCGTTGACAAGATGGCAAGTAGTTTAACCTCTGTACTTCAGTTTTTCCATCTAGTGTATAAAATGGGTAATCATCTTTACCAACCTTTTTAAAGTATCTTGAGATCCTTTGATGAAGCGTGCTACATAAGTGCAAAGTAGTAGTAGTAGTGAAAACATTATTACTATCTGTTTAAAAAGCTTAGCACGATTAGGTTCTTGCAAGATGGACATTTTTCTCTCATGCCCATTTTATTTGTGATGCACACTGTAATGTGAATACATACATATCATATGATTATCAAGATAAAGTTTGCCCAAATCAAACCTTATTTATGGGATTCCACTATACATGTGGCCTGTCTGATGCTCATTATATCTGTCCCAAATACACAGGTTATTTTCAACACGTTTCTGTTAATTAGACACAAATAGATAATGAATCAATTACAAATTCTGCAGTGAAGGTCAATCAGTTCAGGTCAGACTCAATCACATCCATCCTTCTCTTTCCCTTGTCCTCACAAGCACGTCTTTAAACTTGTGCAAGGGAATCACCATAGAAGAACATCACACCTGCAATCCTTTTCAGAAGACCTTCCTGATAATCCCACAGGAACAGAGAGTGACAAAATCAGGAGATACTCCTGCCTATAAAAAACAGGGAGCAGCCTGCGTTGCGGCATGTTGGGGAAGGGATATGAAGAGAAAAGAGGACGAAGGGATAGGAAGCGAAAAACAAAGAGGGAAACCTAGAGAAAAGGAATGGGTGGTAGGTGCTTAGTCTCAAACATGGTCACTTTGAGAACCAAGTAGTTAGTTATTAGAAGTCTGACAGAGATGTGATCTACGACAGATTCATTCTTGCAACTCACCTGTAAATGGTTGGAAAAACCACTCTCCTATTACAGTTCTTACAGCATGCTAATCACTGAGGCTATGTCTACACTAGCACTTTTGTCAGTATAACTTATGTCACTCAGGGGTGTGAAAAAACACCCGTCAGACCGACATAAGTTACACTGACAGAAGTGCTGGTGTGGACAGCGCTATGTATGGGCGGGGGGGAAGCTTCTCCCATGGGCATAGAGCAGATACATGAGCGATCTTACAGCGGCACAGCTGCATTGGTATAGCTGTGCCGCTGTAAGCTCGCTAGTGTAGACATGGCCTGATAGAAGTGGCTCTAGATAGTTTGTGACTGACTAGAGCTCTAACTCCTTAGCCTAGGAAGGGATGGGAGGATGAGGAGCAACTTGCTCTGACCAACTGAAGGCTAAGAGGTCTGGGCCTTGTCTACACAGGAAAATTAGGATGCTTTCCTCACTATGCAACTATTCTGGGAAGCATCAACAGCAGAAGCTGTAGTGTAGTGTAGGCAATACTACAATAGCAATACAATAGTAATATAAGCAGTAGTCAACGATGGGGTTACCCAATACGAGATTAACCACCATATGGATCTTGAGGTACAGAGGCTCAGTCGTAACCAGCGGCAGCATCCAGCTACCTAGGCACTTCATGTAGCAAGGATTGGCACTCTCGCATCAGTCTTTTTAACCACAGCCATACTCACAAGACATAAAAACTGTTGTCAGGTGTCATCTTCGGTCAGGAACAACAACAATTGTAATGTAGAAAATAAAGATGCCAAGGTCTTTTCTCTGCTACACCTTCTACCATTGCTACCATTGCTGGAGAACTAATGGTCCCAGTTATTCTAGGATGGACAGGGCCCAGGATTCAGCCTCTCTCAGCACACATAGGGAGAGCAGAAGAGTACATGGCATCACTCCTCCTCCCTCCCCTTCAGTTTAAGAAAGAGACAGGAAGAAACTGAAGCCATTCAAAGAAACAAGGGAAGATAAAATGGGAGAAATAAGAGAGAGTGGGACCAGACACCCCAAGCCCCAGCGCAGCCGGGGTCCGCAGAACAGCCACAACTCACAGGTGAAACTGACAGAGAACATGACAGAGCCTTAGGGCAGCACTGTGACCTGGGTGCCCCCGGCTGCCAAGCCCTGGGGCACATAAGGCTCAGCGTCCTGCCACCTCAACCGCTGAGACAGTGGCGGTCTCTCCCCCCTCCCCGGTGCGGGTGCGTCGGGCTGAGGGGGCGCAGGCGTCACGCCCCCCACACGCTGCGCGGCCGGGGCGGAGCTGCCAGCGCTGCCCTTTCCCGGGGGGTGGGATGCGGGGCAGCTCAGACGCCAGCGAGGACGGGCGGTGTCCGAGGGGCTCCAGGCTGCGGCTCTGCCTCCCCCATACAGCGGCCGGACCTCGCAGTCACTGCACGGGGGGCGGCCGGGCCGGGGAGCGGGCCCGCGGCGCTGGGAGTCGGGCGCAGCGGGGCGGGCCCAGGTCCCGGGAGACGGTCGACGTTACCTGCAGCTCCGCCCGCTCCGCCTCCCACTCGGCTCGCTCCGCCTCGAAGCGGCCCCACTCGTGCTGCAGGAAATGCAGGATCCCGGGGACGCTGTACTGAGCCCGGGCCGCGGACACCGGGGCCGGGGCGGCCGCCGCCAAGGAGCCCCCCGCGGCCGCCTCCCCCGGCTCCAGCCCCGGCCCGGCCCCGCCCGGCGGCAGCAGCAGCGCGTTGTTGTTGTTGTTGTTGCTGAAGAAAACGCCGGGCCCCGCCTGCTCGTCCATGGCCGGAGCCGCCGCCCGCAGCCGCCGCGTCCCGGCAGCAGCAACAACCTGGGCGCGCCCGCCCGCCGTCACCGCCTGACAGGACGCCCCCGCCGGCTGCTACCGGGGCCCGGCGGGGACAATTCCAGCGCGCGATCGCACCGGCCGGCTCGCGGCACTCTGGGAAATGTAGTTCTGGGGCCATTCTGCCGGGGAGCTGAGCACAGACAGGGCAGGGTCTGACTCTGTCCCGCCCTCGGTCGCCGGCTGCTCTACTCCCCAGTTCTGAGAAACGGAAATCACACTAGGGAAAGCATCCCTGTGTCAGCTCCTCAGACAAGCGCTCTGCCCCAGGGCCAGGAGCGAGCAGGCGCTTTCCAGGCAGATCCTCACCCACTTTCGTTCCTCCCACCCCGCAAAAGCCGGGGCTGGAGGAGACAATACATGTAACCCTCGACCCAAAACCAACCCCTCTCCCCAAGTGTCTTCGCTCCCTGGGAGCTGGCAGAGGCCCATGACAAGTGCATCAGACAGACGTACAGAGCCATACATGTCAATAGCACCGTGAGAAATGTACAAATTCCAGAGGAAATTAACCATTTTTCACCCCAGCCCTTAATCACGAGCATTACTCCTGTCCTCTGTAAGGCTGGGTGGCACACTTTAGCACAGAGGACAGTCAGAGACAGAGGCTGGCAGTTGTATCCAGAATAATCACTTTCTCGGCAGCATGGCAAGATTTTCTGCAAGAGCAGCTTTGCATAAAGCTAAGGCAGGTCTGTTCAGTGATGCATCCACAGTACAGGCACTTTCTACTCAGGACAGTCAACAGCCTTTACCATGGGAGGTAGTGAAGCAAGTCTGTTCACTGGTTACAGTAGTCTCTGAAGACTAGGTACTAGAGGGAGGCACAACACAATGCGGCTCAGTCTACAGCCCATGGTTAGGTCAACATAAGCAACCTTCACTTAAAGTTGGTTCCCAGCCTCTCTGTGCTGATTTAGTAACACCAGCTCTTTGAGCTATGTAAAGTCAGTCAATGTAGTTAGTTCAACACAGTGTCAGTGTAAACACTGCGTTGTTACTGGCTTTCAGGAGCCATCCCACTATGCCCCACACTGACCATACAATAAAGTGCTCCTGATGAGGCTGTGCACTACTACCACAAGGAGCCAAGTGTGCGCACACAAGCAATTTAATAACTGCGGTGGCTGGCTGTAGGTTGACAATTTTGTAGTGTAGACATGGCCTTAGCCAGCATGTTATAAAACTACATTGTTAAAAAATGGCTGGAGTAGAAAGGGCCATTTTCCTCAACTGTAAGGGGATGGAGACAGGGAACTGGGCACTGAAAATTATGGTGCACTGTAGTCCCCTCCTCCTCAACCTTAGGGAGGAAAACTCTAGGATGAGCTGCCTGGAGGAGGAGTTTTGGAAGCTGTAAGGGTTCAGCACAGGAGGATCTTCTGACGACTGCTCTTCCCTGCAGCAGAAGGAAAAGCTGGAGTGCTGAGACCTGTAAAGCCACCCCACAGACCTGCAGTAGAAGGAAGCTTGTCCTGGAACCTCTGTTCTCCCTAGAGGGGGAATGCTGAGGAAGGTCACTGGATCATATTGCAGGAAGTCTCATGGGAACCACAGCCTCCTCTGAAAGGACAGTGAGAGCCTAAACTTTTAAAATTGGCTCCTCATGAGAAGCTGGGCCAAGGGGATGGATTCACCAGCTGGTGGTTGAGGAGGAGAGCCAGAGCCTCCTACTCTGCTGCAGCTGCCATGGCCCTCACATCCTATCTCATAGCCTGGGACCACTCAAAGATCTACTACAGATTCACAGAGATATTAATGAAAGGAGCCTTGCTTAAGAGGAATGGGATTGCCAAATCCAAAAGAAAGCTAAAAAGACAGAGAACATGTGAGGCCACTAAAAATGCTGCAAGCTCTGTAAGCAACAGTCCCAATATGTCACCAACAATACTGTCTTGGCATAAGATGAGCATTTCTACAGGCCCATCAATGGTGAAGGCACTGAGTAGTCCCAGAGCCTTCACCATATTTTGTAGACTAGGAGTGTTGACGAGCTTTTCAAACCAATATTTCTGGTTAGCTGATGGCCATCTATCACTTCTTCAGAAGGCTAGTGCTTGCCTGCTTCCTTGCCTGGCAGTAAGAGAGGTCACTATAACTACAGAGAGGAGCATACTAGGTGATTTCTTCACTCTGGCTCAGAGGGGAAAAAACTGAAGGAGCTTAGAGACAGAGAAAAAGGAGAATGAGGTATAGCAAGGAAGATGGAAAAAGCAGGAGAGGTGAGAAAATATGAGCTGGAGAAAACCAAGCTCAGACGGAGCAAAAGTAAGGAGGGTGGTGAGAAAAACAGGAAAGAGTAGAGAGAGAAGAAAAATGGAGAGGGGAAGTGGATAAGTTAATTCAGGGGAAAACCAGACTGAAAAAAGACCATTAAACCTGGGAAAGGCAGAGAGAGGAAAAGAGAGGAAGAACAAAAGCGAGGAAGGCATGCCAAGTTACTTCACCTTTTAATCAAATGAAGTTTGGTGCCAGATTATTATATAAAATAATTTTTTTCCTGAAGAGCAGGAAAAGGACAGGACAATGTAGATAGGAAACTTGAGAGGCTTGTTTCTAAATGAGCATGAGAACCCAGTATGTCTGTAGGTGGTGGAGGAAAAGCCTTTCTTTTCATCTGCCTCTGCCTTTCCCTTATCCCTCAATCTGTGTGTCTGTTTTCCCTTCAATTAACATTTTTCAACCATTTTACTTTTTTTTTAAACTGGCTTCCTATGGTGTCCCACTTTTGCTTGGCTGGCTCTAAACTTGCATTTTAAGATTTGTTTCTTTGCCTTTTCTGAGTTTCCAGCCATCTTGTTTAGTAAGACATTCAATTCTAACTGGGAAAAAAGTGCTAGGGTAAAAAGACTATTTTAGGGGAATTAGGAGACAACAACAAGAATTCTTGCTGCTAGTTCAGGCAAGGCAGAGAGAAACTGGCAGATAGCTCATGACAGAAGGGAAGACTTGTCCTCAATGCACAACAAAAAAAATCCAGCAATTTCATTGGGGTTCCTACATGTTTGTTGCATGGCACGGATAGGAACCCAGTAAGCATAAACTAACCTGAACCAATCAGAGAAAGCATATCATATTGTTTTTCTCACTTCCAGCTGTTTTATGTGTTCATATGGTTTCTCTAAAAATCTTGCTGTCACATTTTTGAAATTCACCTTCCCTAATGAAATGTTAAAAGGCTTGTATGTTTTTATTCAAATGAGCTTTTAGTGTTTCAGCTTTGAAATTATGAATTATATTGTAAATTTTAATTAACTTAATCACTATGTATAGAAAGGAAGAATAAAGCAAATAATTCTTTGCTGCTACTCTTTCCTCACTTTGGGCTTCATTCTATAAACAGTTCATTACTCTATATGTCTTTACGCTCATGTCTAGTCCTATTGCATTAGTGGAACTAGGTGTGGGAGTAAAGATGCATCCTATAGTAACTGTTTGCAGGAAAACAGGGCTCACACCATTCTTTGTGATCTTGAATAATGGTCAAGAACAATTCTGAATTAAAAGCTTTTCTAAACATAACTTTATGTTAAAGAGTTTGCACAAACTAACTGTGACAGGGTGAAAGAGAACTATCCTGTTCTTAGTTAATTGGTTTTAATTACAGTTGATCTTTCCCTTCCCCTTACACAGATGCTCAAAGGAAAGGCTACCACAGTGGCTATTTAGAAGAAAGAGATGGGTAAATGCCTACGGCAAGATCAGAATCCATACATATTTCAGCCAAATATCAATCATACGATTAAATTCTGATTACTACTAATTTCCTATTGTGAGGTTCAAACAATAGAAATTTTAGGATCCACTTCTCAAATTATATAAATAACTTGTACATTGACTTGTTCCAGGAACACCTGAATGGACAACAAAGATGGAGGGATAGAAACATGCCTACATTCATTATGAAAGCCCTATAGGTTGTATGACACAACAAACCTATATAGGAAGGGCCCCTGATTTATGTGGCAAACTGGGAATTCTAAAGCAGTGTAAAAGACATTAAAATTCAGAGATTTCAGCTGACTATTAAAATGGATAGGAACAGAGGCATTAACATATAATTCAATAAAAATACTGTACTTCAGGAAAACAGCACTATTGCATTGAATAAATCAGGACCCTTCCCAGAAATTGTAGGTCTGATATGCACAGAGTATATGGCCTTATGCCGTTCACCTCTTCCTGACTCTAAGAAAGGTGTGTGAGAGCTCTCGCCCCCTCCCTATGGCTGCAGGAAGAAGGTTTTCCACCAGCCCCTTGTGAAGTCTGGCAGGAGAAACAGTCCAATGGCTCCCATTATAGTCAAATCTTGTAGCAGGTAACAGTGCTCTTCCCTCAGAGAATCCAGGCAAAGTAAGCAGAACACTGAACTGTGGAATTTGGGCAGAGTAGGAAAATAGTTTACCACAGGAGCCTTTGCAACAGGCAAATTCCAGAGCCACAGAAATGCAAATGGCATATGGTCCCATTTATAAACCTTATTTCCAATGCATCTTTTTATTTATCTTAGTGAGAGATGGGGGAGGGGGGTTGGTTCTTTGAATCCATTTATTAACTCTCGGGCATGGAAACTGATCTGAAAGAAAGAGATATACCACAAAGTTAATAACATCTTATTTTGACAGCATGTTTGCTTGTTTATCTTGGAAAAGACTGCAATCTTTTCCAGTTCCTGCTTTTTTTGTATTTCATGTGACCTGAAATGAATTATACATCTGATACACCCCAACTTCACTAGGTTTGTGTTTTTTTGTTTTTTAAGAAAAATGTGATTATTACACCTGACATTTCCAAAGATAAATAGTAAATACCGAATACTGGTTTCTCCACCCACTCCAACCCTGCTGTGTTAGTGTGCTGGTACAACAGTTGGATAGCATTAACTAGCTTTTAAAAACACTTACATTTGCTAGGTTTGACTCAGTGTTCTAAAAATAAACAACACAATTTAGTAGGACAGATGATACTTTTTTGGTGGATAATTTATAACACAGATTCACAAATATGATCAAACAAATTCAATTTCTTAAAAATTTATATAAATACTTGTAACACTACTTCCCTTATAATGCACAAATTTCAAGTAATTACACATAAAGCTATTAGATTGCCTCTGACATACAAACAATGCAAAATACAAACATATATGCAGTAGCACATAAGGAATGATGTAGTGCTTCTGACTTTTAATTGTAGGTATGATCCCAAAAATAATAACTCAAAATAATTCAAAAAAAGCTAGTTTTAAGTTTAATTGTTGGGACAGAATGTATTGTGGGTGGTGGTTGCCTGGCAGCTGCTTTTGCTTTGCTGGCCTGACTTGCTCGGACTGCAGTTTCTAGACGTATTTTCAATTCAGGAGCAGCTCCCATTACTGTCTTGAAAGCATGAGGGTAGAGGGGACCAATGTGCATTAAATTCTGGAGTGCAAATTCATGAAGATCTTTCGATATTGTAGATGCAGAAGCAAAAGCATTTTCATTCAGTAAATAAGAGATCAGAGTTGGAACTAGAAGAGCAAGCAACTGGACTCCTAAAAGTGAAAGAAGAAAAAAGCATAATAGATTAGAAATAAAAACTATATGGAAAATGAATTGTGGCAATAATACTGTTCCTATAAAAAAGCCATTACAGTCAAAGTTGAAAACAAACACAGCAATAACACTGCTCTACAGCCAAAAGTTGAAAACAAACACAGCAATAACAATGCTCTACAGCCAAAATGCTTCTGAAATAAATGTAGTCAAACTTTACTAATTCTGGGTCACTGAGAACAAAAATGATGCTTAAAATTAGTTGATTGGCTCTAGTTTTCTAAGATATGCTATTGGGTCAGTATATACGACCTTGACTTGGGAA